AAAGAAAGAAAGAAAGAAAGAAAGAAAGAGGAACCTACAACCATGAACAAAATAGGGGTTGGGAATGTAGTTCTAAAGTAGACCCTGGGATTACTCCCTGGTCCCCAAAACAATAAAGGAGACAGGGGGCAGGAAAGGATAGAGGAAGAGGCAGGGATGGGTATTTAAACAGACAAAGAGGCTGGAAGGAATCTCCTCAGGGCGGGCGCTAAACGACCTATTGAAACACACAACTGAGCCCTCCGCCACCTCTGCCTGCAGCAGCTCCAGCCCACAACTGCCTGCTCTGTATGCCACGCTCCTATTTCCAGCTCCTTAGTTCTGCCCTGGCTCCATTCACTTTTGTGGTAAAGATCCAGAAATATTTCCTTTAATCATCAGAATATTAAAACATCTAATGAACCATTTTCCAAACTCCTCCTAGTACAATATTTTTCTAAGATACACAGACATAAACTTCCTATTTCCATTCACCATCACCAAAGAGACTTTTCTCGTTTGCTTATTCTTATTATAATTTTTATTTTGGAGACTGCCTCTTGTTATATAGCCCAGGCTGGCTCAAATTTAAAATACATCTGCCTCAGCCTCAGCAGTATAAATGTTACAAGCAAGCACTATCAACCACACATAGCCTTTCTTCATATTTCTCAAACACACCAACTCATCCTATCTCAGGCATTTACACTTGCTTTTCTCTAACCAAGAGTCATCTCTCATGGCTCAAAACATCCTACCACTGAATCAGAGGATTAAATAAAGATGGTATCTCTTACTACCCTAACAAAAACAGCCCTAAGGAAAGACATTACCTCTTTAACGGCTTTTCCCTTGATTTACTTTATTCTTCATTATCATAATTATCACTGTCTTGGGTTATACCATTTGCTTTTACGTGTCTTTTTTTTCTGTAGTAGAATACATTTAATTTCAGTATCCCTAACATCTCAAACAATGCAAGTACTCAGTAAACAATACGGTAAATTAAAAAATTTATATGTCAGTATATTTAATTTCCTTTAACAGGCTACTCAAGGGTAGAATTTGTGTTATAGCATCAGTTACATTCATAATATTTATGGAAGTGTTTCACAGAAGGATTCCTAGTAGAAGCCCCACTGTCCCTGCTGTCTTTTCTGTAGTTTCAAGCTTCTTCAGAAAAAGAACCACTTTAAATGTGACACTCTTCACAAAAACGTCCTGGCCATTTCCTATCTTTATTATGCTTTTCCCTCTTTCAGTCCTGATCCAATTCTCAACTTCTAGCCCACATATCTCATACCTAGACATTATAAGCTATTTTCTTGTAATGAATAATATACCCAAAAGTAATTGTATAATTCTCTCAAACACAATTATCAACCTACAAAACTTGCATATCACCCTTAGTTGTTGTTCTCCACAGGCGGGCAGCAGGCAGGCAGGCAGACAGGCAGCAGGTAGGCAGACAGACAGGCAGACAGGCAGGCAGGCAGGCAGACAGACAGGCAGACAGGCAGGCAGGCAGACAGACAGGCAGACAGGCAGGCAGGCAGGCAGGCAGACAGACAGGCAGGCAGGCAGGCAGGCAGGCAGGCAGGCAGGCAGACAGGCAGGCAGGCAGGCAGGCAGGCAGACAGACAGACAGGCAGGCAGGCAGGCAGGCAGGCAGGCAGGCAGACAGCAGGCAGGCAGACAGACAGCAGGCAGACAGGCAGGCAGGCAGGCAGACAGACAGGCAGACAGGCAGGCAGGCAGGCAGGCAGATAGACAGACAGACAGACAGACAGGCAGGCAGGCAGACAGACAGACAGGCAGACAAGCAGGCAGGCAGGCAGGCAGACAGACAGACAGGCAGACAGCAGACAGACAGACAGGCAGACAGCAGACAGGCAGGCAGGCAGACAGGCAGACAGGCAGGCGTTCTCATTCTCCTTTTCTCCCTAACTGGCTCTCTGGCTCTCCAATGTATTTACTTCCCTCTATCTTCTCAAACTCCCATGGGCCTACAGAAGCCTGTGCTCCAGGATCTGACTATTGCTTATATTCTTTCCTGTAACTTGCCCACACACCATCATTCTCCTCATCAGACCTTCTAACCCTGTCATACCAGATTATCCTCTTTTAATCCAGTGAAGATTTACATCAATTCCCTTTGCCTAGTATACTATTTTTCTTTCTCCATGAAGCCTTCCCTGGTACTTCACCTCTTCTATGATGGTCTCAGAGCGGCAAGTATTTAGTCCCATTATGAAACTATGTGTATGTTTACTTGTCCCTGTAATAGACCAAAACTTCCATGAAACCAGAGATGGTTTCACTCATGAACCACAGCCCCCCCAGCCTGGCATAGATACCAGCAAGTATATAAATTCAATGCACCATTTGAAAAGGATGAACTAAGTCAATAAATAAGTGCATGATAGCCGGGCGGTGGTGGCGCACGCCTTTAATCCCTGCACTCAGGAGGTGGAGGTAGGTGGATCTCTGTGAGTTCCGCACCCACCTGGTCTACAAGAGTGATTTTCAGGACAACCTCCAAAGCCACAGGGAAACCCTGTCTCGAAAAACCAAAAAAAAAAAAAAAAAAAAAAGGGTATGATTCACCAGACAAAAGCAAACACTCTTAGGAAAATGACATGTAGACTGAAAGTATGTGAGAACAAATGCTATGCCAGGGAAATCACCTTTTCCCAGAGAAGAGGAGGAGGAGAAGGAGATGGAAGGTAAGGGGGAAGAAGAGGAGGGGGGGGAGGAGGAGAAGGAAGAGGAGATGGAAGGCAAGAGGGAGAAGGAGGAGGGGGAGGAGGAGGAGGGGGGGGGAGAAGGAGGAGGAAATAAATGTTCATTCATTTAGGAACTTACACTGGTAACCGTTAAGAGTTCCTTTAGGGAGGGGATTTGTCTATGAAGGGCTGGTAGGAAAGAGACAATCTGCACTATACATCCTTTTGAACCTTTTTAATTGTGCCATGTATTTAAAACCTATTTTAAGGGGTTTAGTGTATACAGTCAGGCAATAGGGGGGATTGCCCAGTGTGTGAGGTCTTAGGTTCAGTCCTGGTACTACAATAAAACTACAAGTAAGCTAAATGTAGTGGCACATGCCCTTCACCCCAGCACTCTGGAGGCAGATCTCTGTGGAGTTCACCCTGGTCCACCAGCCAGGGTACATAATGAGGCCCTATATACAATAAAAACAATACAAGAAAATAAACCTGTTCTTACATTTTTATCAAACTGATCTAGTGGATAAGCTTCAAAGCAGGATGCTCTGAATCAACAGCTATAGTATTGAAGCTCAACTTATTTAAAAAGGATGCAAGAGTCTCAGAAGAGTAGATGACCTAGAAACTTGACCAACAAGTAGTATTTGAGTGTGCTGACTGATCTCTGCTGTGTGGGTGAGAGCGACAGTAATTCCCAAGGTTTGATGGTAAGACAGGACAGTACCACAAGTTCAAGGCCAGCATGATCCACACAGTGAACCAGAGAACAGCCAGGGCTATAGACAGCAAAACCCTGTATCAGAAGAAACCAAAACACAGAAATAGGATAAAAATAAATTTAGAAGTCTCAAAAAGGGGTGTTTTAATCATTTTTTTTCTTTTAGATAATACATATTTCACTTTTGCTATAATACTTACTGGACCCCACTCAGTCATGCACTAAGTATAGAGAAAGACAAACAGCACTTTATCCCATCTTTTTCCTTCCTTTTATGAGTTCAATGAGTCTCACCCAATCAGCAACTTTTGCTTCTCAAGCTTCCAGGACTCCCATTTGGAAAGCTTGGTCCACAACTGTAGAGCCAGTCACTGAGGGGTGGCTGGGTCACAAGAGTGGCAGCTTCATTGGTAGTTCATTCACTGATAGACACACCCATAAAAGGGCTATTAAGAGGTATGGACTGAGCCAGGCATGGTGGCATGCGCCTTTAATCTCAGCACTCAGGAGACAAGAGGCAGGAGGATCTCTGTGAGTTTGAGGCCATCCTGGTCTATAGCATGAATTCCAGGACAGCCAGGGTTACACAAGAAAACCTCCTTTGAAAACAACAACCAAAGGTATGGACTAATTGGAGAGAGCAAATCACTTAAAGGTATGCCTTTGAAAGGTATGTCTGTCCCTAACCCTTCCATCACAGATACTGCTTCATGGCCCTCTCTAACATATGTTCTGTCTTGGCTCAGGCCCAAAGCAATGGAGCTATCAATCCCAGACAGAAACCTCTAAGATCACAAGTTGAAATAAGTTCTTCCTCCTGTGTCTCCATAGGTATTTTGTCAGAAGTGAGCAAATTAACACAACTCTTCACATCCTAGGATCCTTTTAAAATGGGTGCAGAACTTGCAAAACTGTTCCAGGAAGGATCATTCTCTGGAGTCTGAATGCATGTGTGCAAATGAGGACCTGGTTCTGAGTAAGGTATAACTTTCCCCAAATGGCAGCTGCCGGTTTCTCTCTGCTCTTCGCCTACACTGTGTTTTCACTGGCAAGGAGGAAGGTGCTCTGAACAGATGGATCCTGACTCTACTTACAAAGCTACAGGGAGAGACCTGAGCTGCCTCCTTCCTGAGAAAAGGCTCCTTCCACTTAGACTGGTGAGATGTATCCTCCCAATCCCCTGCTGAGACTTCCACAAGCTGCCACTTTCAAGCACACCGACACACACAGGCTGATGTAAGACATTTTATCCCCAGCCCCTGTACTCAGGGGTATGGGAAAAACTGGTTAATACTCTGGATTAACATCTAAATTAGAGAGATTCCAAAGGTAGTAGCCATGTGGTAGCCTCCTATGACTCAAAAGCAGCCCAGTGTGAGATCCCGCTCCTTGCAGCCCCTCCCCACCACCCCGCCTGTGCACCAGCGCCCTGCCACGGCCTCTGCATGCTTTCTTCTCTGTGACACCTCCCAAGTCCAGCACCACAGCAAGAGGCTGATACCTGATAGACAGGCCCTGTGCTCGGCCCATGAAGAACACGCTCCATCTCTGCTGTGGGAGTCTTTGAGAGATCAAGACCAGGGGCTGAGTGCAGATTCCTCCCCGTGCCATCTGCAAAGCCTAAGGAGGAAAACATACAAACAAGCTGAAGCCACCCCTCCTCCGGGGCCTAAAGTCTGCACGTGGAAGCACAAGCAGCAGAGTAAGTAATTAATGTGCATCTCTGAATCCAATTGGGGAGTGTGCTTCCTGAGACTATAAACAGCAAATCTCAGAATATGGATAAATTCCTATACCAAAACCACTGAAGAGGTCTCTAAGAAAGGAGCTATAAAAACAATCTGCTGAATATCCTCTGTCCTTTAACATGTCTCGTTTATGAATAAAATCAGTTCTGTTTTGCTTTTTTAGAATTGGGCCCAATACTTACAGTCCATAGAGTAAACTATCTGACAGTGATCTTCTAACATATTGTGGTAAGAAAAAAATATTTCATATCTCTAGTTTACTTCAAAATTTAATGATCATACTCATTGTAAATTAAGTCTGCTTCCTTTGATATAACAGGAAAAAGTTCCAGAGTCTGACAGTGTTTTAACCAGAATTGGAACTCAAGTTTTTCTATGTTCCGCACAGTATTCTATTCTTCTGATGCCCTCCCACACTCTCCCTGAGCAGGATCACTTCAGGAATATGTGGCATGTGTTATATTATTTTATCCCCACTTACTCTTAGCTTTTCTCAATCACTTGAACTATAAACAACCATTAATACTACTCTAAACTGATCTGTGATCCCTCCCAAGGGGCTGTCCCCAATCCAACTAATTAAAGTCTTTTGAAAATGTACCTGCTCTTGACCTACATCAGTGTGTGTGTGTGTGTGTGTGTGTGTGTGTGCATGCGCACACGCCCGCATGCGTGCCCACCAATTCATATATGGATATGTGACTTAGATACAGGTGCATGTGCACACACATACATACATACATGGTTTAAGTTCGTATAGGTACTTAAGATCAGTTATTTTGAATATTTCCTATTACTTAATGCACTGGTTTTCATAATATTGATTCATCTGGGAACTTTAAAAATTATACCTTCTCAGGGAATGGGGTTCTAGTTCAGTTGTATAACACTTGCATACATGATGCTCTGAGGTTCAATCTTCAGTGGGTAAAAAGGGGGGATTTACATGGGACAAAGACAAGACACTAAGCCAGGCGTTGGTGGCGCACGCCTTTAATCCCAGCACTCGGGAGGGAGGCAGAGAGTTCGAGGTCATCCTGGTCTACAGAGCAAGTTCCAGGACAGCCTCCAAAACAATACAGAGAAACCCTGTTTCAAAAAACCAAAAAAAAAAAAAAAAAAAAAAAAGACAAGACACCAACTTCCTGGGCCCTACCATAGATCTGACTCAGAATGTTCCTGGTGGAAACTTGAGAATTTTTACTTTTGGGGAGGAGGGTTCAAGACAGGGCTTCTCTGTTATAGCCATGGCTGTCCTGGAACTCAACTCTGTAGACCAGGCTGGCCTTGAACACGGAGATCTGCCTGCCTCTGCCTCCCGAGTGCTGGGATCAAAGGGACAAAGCCCCACTGCCTGGAGAAAGTCTTTCCTTTTACGAGACCGTCCAGGAGATGAGTAATGTAAACGTGAGGCCTGGTGAGGCGGCAGACACCTGAGCCCAGCACCTACAGGTGCAGCGGAGGGCGAAGACGTTCCAGGCCATTCTGAGCTACAGGGGACGGAAGCAAAACAATTTCTAAATGAGCAGTAAAGCGCTAGAGAAATGGCTTAGCCGTTAGGAGCAATGGCTAAGCTTCCAGAGGCCCCGGGTTTGATTCCCAGCAGACACACAGTAATTCACAACCATCTGTAACTCCTGATCTAAGGACTGTGACTCCCTCTTCTGCCCTCCACAGGTGCTGCCCACATGTGGTGCACAGACATGCGTTCCAGCTGCTGCTGGTGGTCCTCTGAACAAGACACATGTGCTAAGACACACACACACACACACACAATGTCTTTGTTTTTTATATTGTTTATATTTATTATTTTAATGTCTACATGTGTGTAGTACTTGCATGCAGTGGCCCTAGAAGTCAAAAGGACACTAGATCCCCTGGAACTGGATTGAAGATGGTTGTGAGCTGCCATATGGATACTGGTAATTGAACCTGGGTCCTATGTAAGAGCAACACGTACTCTAAGCCACTAAACTATCTCTCCAGTCCCATATAGCATCCTTTTTTAATTTTAATTTTTCCATGGTCTTGGAGGTTGAACCTGGGGCCTGGTGGATGCTAATTAGCTACATGTTCTAACACTGGTTCATACTTGTAGACCAATAGTATCCTTTGATACAAAAAAGTTTTCAACTTTGATGCAGCACACAGTTTATGTTATTTTTTCCTCCAATAGTCTTTTTCTTGGTGTCATATCTAAGAAATTGTCAAATCCAGGTCTTAAAGCTTTTCTCATAGGTTTTTGTTTTTGTTTATATATATATATATAGTTTTACCTCTTTAGATTGAACATTCAAATCCAAGTCATTTTTAAGACGTATTTATTCCTATTCCATGCATGTGGTATGTTTGGGTTTTTTTGTTGTTGTTGTTTGGTTTTTCGGAACAGGATTCTCTGTGGTTTTGAAGGCTCTCCTGGAAATCGCTCTTGTAGACCAGGCTGGTCTCGAACTCACAGAGATACCCTGCCTCTGCTTCCTCAGTGCTGGGATTAAAGGTGTGCACCACCACCGCCTGGCCATATTTTCAATTCTTAAGTCTATGTAGTATCCAAGGAGCATACATGGCAATCCCTGGAAGAACCAGAGGTCTTGACATTGCTAGCTGGATAAAATCAGAAAATGCCATAGTAGAGACTTGGTTTAGTGTGGCTATCCTTGTTGCAATGTAAACCTGGAGCCTGATTCTTGGATTAGTTTAACATCTAAAACACAGAAAAAGAGAACTCTTCCCAGCCTTCCCCATCGCCTGCTACCCTGTTCTCTGAGACCTATCAACCACTTCTTTACACTACGTTCTGGAGAGCCCACAAGCAAATACTTAAGTGGTCATTTCCTTTTAAGGAAGGAATTACTCTCTGAGGGATAATTCTGACCCCATCTACATTCTAGCAAGAAAGAAAAAAAAAAAAAAAAAAAGCCTAGTCCTCCTCCTGAAGACTGCAGGAAGAAGTCAGTTTTATTGCACCTAAGTAAGACAGTGATGCTGTACAGAGCACTACTCCTCCTTTGATCTTGGTTCTCTGGGTGTCACTTTTTATATGTCCCCACCGCTGGTCGTATTTTTACCTGTTTTGTTAAGTGGCTGCCAAGCCACATCCTGCGACCTCCATTCAGAACAGCTGGTTGGAGAGGCCTGAAGACTGGCTTGGTAGAGAGACTCCAACTCAGAGGTCTCCTGCTCTGTGTCTTGGTTCCAGTGTGGATGCAAAAGGATGTGGTTTCTCTCTGGATAGGTTACACATTTGTGGGAATCATGGGAGGAGGACCTGACTCCTGGCCCAGGGCCCCTGTGTGTAACCTGAGAATCACAGAGTCTTGTGGCATTTACCCAGGAATCCAAAGGCAAAGAGGCCCCCCAGCTGGCACTGCTGCCCAGCTCCTTGGCCCTAGTCTCTGTCACTTGGGGTAGCTTTCCTTGGTACATACTTGGCTCAGCCAACCTGGGCTGTCCTCCTCCAGCAGTTTCCCCATTGGGAAGCCCAGAGTCTGCAGTAAGAGGACTATCAGCAGGGTCCCCCCAGGAGGGCAGGTGTTCCCTGCCGTCTACAGAAGGTGGCCGTTTTACCCAGCGACAGTGGTCTTTTCCTGAACCTGGGGGCAATGGAGGTCTGAAGTCAGAAGAAGAGTTCTTCCTTACACTATTTGGCAAATTTTGATCCTGGGAGCCTGTAACATCCCTCACGGAGGTATTCTGCATCTTCTGGAACTGCTCTGCCAGTGAGCGGACAAGTCCTTTTGTCCTGGGGATCTCTGGCCTACAGGGCTCCTCACTGCCTCTGAGCACTTTTGAAGTCAATGAAGTTTGGAGTCTTTGGGCTTGAAGATGTGGGTTAAGTTTTTGCATGGGATCAGTAGCAGGAAGCTCAGGGGAAGTAGTAGCAGACATTACGGGGTGGTAGGCCCTGTAAGGAGGAATACTAGGTTGAGCTGATAAACCTGAAGGACTATTTAGGCTATGTATAACTGTCTCAGAAGTGGCTTCTCCTGCTGAATGTGACCAAGGCATCACCATGGATATGTCAATAGGATTCTTCTTTTCTTCGAACAGCAGATCTTGAACTATGTCCCTTCCTTCTTGTGGTGGGAGTTTGCTGCAGGTGCTGTTGTCCTCCCTGTGGCCTTGTAGCTTGTCTTCAAGGGCACCCACAGGCAGGCATTCATGCTGAGAATTCATCTCCACTCTACCTGTCGTCTTAGGTAAGTCCTGCCTGCGGAATGCAGAGGGACTAATACTGTCCACCTCAAATGACGTCAGAAGCGTCAAAGATCTACTAGGGGAACTGTGCAGTGAACGAGATGAAACAGGTGACTCCGGGGTGAGAAATGGGCGTGACTCCTGGCAAGAAGCAGGTGAGTGGAAGAGAGAACTGGCCCCGAACTCTGCATCCTTGCAGGGTTCCAGCTGTGCCTCCTGGCTTAACAATACTTGGAGCGGGATAGGCTGCTCACTGAAACAAATGGAGAGAACCAGTCAAAAGGTGCCTTGAGTAGCTGTAATACTTTCAAAAAGAACTATAGATTCTATTCCACTTACAGTTATTCATAGATATCATGAAGAAAAAGACACACACAAACAAAGCCAATAGTTCACAGGTTCACAAAAGAAAAGGAAGGTAATATTATTATCTATTCAATGTCATCACCAATCTTGCATGTGTGGTATTAAGTACAGTTTTTGACAATATTCTCCACTACCTGTGAAGTCTCATTCTAATCACATCCTACTTGCAAATTAAAAAAGATAAAAATTGCTTCTCTCATGCAGATGACATAGAAGGGAAAGTCTAAACATCACTCATACCATACAACAAAAAATCCCAGCAGCTGCCAGGCGTTGCTGGTACACGCCTTTAATCCCAGCACTCAGGAGGCAGAGGCAGGCGGATCTCTGTGAGTTCGAGACCAGCCTGGTCTACAAGAGACAGTTTCAGGGACAGACTCCAAAGCCACAGAGAAACCCTGTCTCAAAAAACCAGAAAACAAACAAAAAAGCCTCCCAGCTGCTGTACAAGGAGGGAGGTGCTCTCCTTGGGTCCTGTGCAGCAGCTCAGTAAAAAGGACATTATTACTACAGAGTACAAGGTGATTCGCCTCCCTGGAGTGCACAGAAGTCAAATATGTGCTTGTCCATTGTATTCCTCACTCAGATGTTCCTCACAGTGACAGACCAGGACTCTCCTCACACTGAGGACTGGGAATTAGGACAAACTGTTTTCTATTTCTGACCAAAACACGTGTAGTCTAATAGGAAACTTCAACCTTTCCAACTTTAGATTATCTGAAAATCCAAAACTAGAATGCTTCAAACTCCCAACTGTTTTTTAGCACAGATAAAGTAATGAAATTAAGTTTGGAACCTGGAGCATCTCAGACTTCAGATTTCAGGGTTGGGGGTATTCAGCCTATCTAAGTGTCCCAAAATCTGAGGATATTCAGCCTATCCATGTGAGTATCCCAAAATCTGAGGATATTCAGTCTATGTATGTGAGTGTCCCAAAATCTGAAAGAAATAAAAAAAACCTGAAATCTGAGCTAGGTGGCAGTGTCAACCTCTAACCCCAACACTTAGGAAGCAGAGACAGGTGGATCACAGTAGGC